ATTTTCATATTTTTCATGAACTGTTAGTGCAAGAACAGTGTGGTAGAATAGTGAAACACACTGGTGAAACACCTATCTGGAGGTGTAAAAACCTATCTGGAGGGGTAAAAAGCATGTTTGGAAGGGAAACTTCAGTTTTGACTTGTAAATCTGAGGAAAGTATAATCAGTATCTGAAAATCCTCAAAAACAGTAGTATAGTCTTAACCTAATTATTATGCATTATACCAATATGTTAACATGCCTTTAATAATATGGAATCAAACACTGATACAGAAATTATATATCAAATCTTCATGACTTTTAGTTATTTCAGCATATTATACTGTATTTCTTTAAGGCCATCATGAATCAGATTACAAAGCTTCTTGTATTTTGGATTCTTCTTGAGAGAATATACTCGTGTACATCTGACAGGAGAGGGGTTTTGCTGCATGAGAAGCTCTGAAAAGTGGTGGCAACCCTCACAGTCCCTTTATTTCAGGCAGTCTTTGCTTTGCAATCATTGCTGAAGCAGTTTGAGCAGCATTGTGCATGCATGGTGTCATCATACACATAGCTGTAAATAGTTACATGGGAGCCTTTTTTGTTTAAATACTTATCATGCCTAAGACTTATCTGAAGAGTGGTAATTTTACTAAAACAGGGAGGTCTGCTGTCTTTGTGTATATGCTCAAATGTGTACTCATCCTTGGAACATGACAAAAATAACATTTATAGACACACGGAAGCCAGAAAGGAATCTGAAAGTCTGAAAGTTCAAGAGAAATTGGAGCTGTGACTCTGAAATGACTGCAGCTTGCAGATCTGTGGGTAGGAAGGCTTGCGGTGCCAGGTGGAACTCCAGCCCATTTCAGATCCAGAGGCTGGAGACACAGCTGTTAGCACTGTGGGACCTTAGTCCTACCCTACAGGCTTTCAGTTCTTGTGCCAGTGGAATTGTTGACCTGAGAGCTCTGGGGCTTCCCAGGGTGCAGAGCAGTGCTTCTGCACAATGTAAATGGGTAAGAGTTTAGTCCTAACGCTGGGAGAACATGGTGACAATGTAGTCACTAAAGAGTCACTCAAGTTCTAACACTGACTAGTGACAAGCAAGGCTTGCATTGTGTCTGTCAGGTTGCTGTCTGGACTTGGAAGAAAGAACTTGCCATACCCAGTTCCTTCTTGAGAAGGAATGGAAGCTCTTCTGAGTGCAAGGATTTGCATTCAGGATTATGTTCAATGTAAAAAATGCATTCATTGCAGCATTTGTTAGTCATGACTAATAAAACCAATTAGGTGACATCATCATCAGAAATTGACATTTTCTTAACCTATAACATAGATTCTATTTTGAACCTATCAGATATACTTTGCATTATCCAGACACAAATCAACAAATATAGGTTCTGTAGAAATGCTTTCAAAATTCAGAGCATAAAAAAGAACATCCTACTGTTTTTAATATTTATAGTGTAGCATCCAGTCCTTTTAGGTTTCCTAAAATGCCAAAATATCTAGGCATACTATAAAAGTTGTTTTGCGTGAATTTCAGAACTAGAGTGAATTTCACCTTGTGAGTAGTCCTGTGTGACACCTTTGATGCCATTTCCAGAGCAACTGCTGAGACTTCTCTTTCTTGTCCTGTCTGTGAAATGCTCAGGGAAGCGTTCAGCCTGTGTGGTAACAATAGTGAGAGAGGCTCTTCTGCTCTGCAAAGCAGAAGAAAGCATCTTTTTCACATAAAACATATAATACAGTGTGTAGGAGTCTTTTATTACTAAATATTAGTGAAACAATATAGGACAACGTAGTTCAACATTTTTTTGTTGTGTGAGAGTCAAGTGAATGCGAGTCAATTTAAATGGAGGTATTGGCAATCATAATACAGTGTGTAGAAGTCTTTTATTACTAAATATTAGTGAAATAATATAGGACAATGTAGTTCAACATTTTTTGTTGTGTGAGAGTCAAGTGAATGCGAGTCAATTTAAATGGAGGTATTGGCAATTAAAGGTGACAATTGGCTGGGTAAGGTAGTATTGAATGTGCAGAACAGCTTGGAGCAAATGGAAGGCCATTTTGTGTGATCATAAGGTCATAAAATAGCCAAAAAGATGTGTATCAGAAAAAAGGTTTGATGGGTTAGGAACTGGGTACAGTAATAAGCTGAGCACACAGAAATCCTCCCCAAGAGGGTAGGATTGCTTTGCCTTTGTGAACTGCTGGCCATCAGCTTCTTCCAGGGCAGAGAGTAGGGGCTGTGGTGATAGAAGCAGCTGGTTCAATGTTTCCAGGTGTGTGTTTGTCTCCACAGCTGCTGGTTGTGCATAGCTCCTGCAGCTATCCAGGAAAGCTGCTTTTCCAGTGGCTTTTCCAGCCTTCATTATCCTCACACTAAGCACTAAAGTCACACTGTGACATTGAGCATATGGACATGTCCTATGAGAAGCTGCACTTACCCACAGGTGAATAAGCTGTTTTATGTGAGAGGATGAGGTGGTTATGGGTACACTTTATGTGCAGTCTGTACCTCCCTTGAAACAGGTCAGAGAAGCTGAGCAATGTCAAACACAGGGTTGATTTGGCATATGGCAGTTGCAGAATTAGTAGTTTTCTGAGTAATTTAACTCTCTCCATGTATCTTCTTCCTCATCTGCACCTTTATCCCATTAAAGTGTATCAAAATGCTATTTGCTCATTAGAGAATGAATGTACCCCTGAAAGTCCATAAACTAAGGCCAGAGCTTCAGGAGTGCTGAGAGCCTGGCAGCTCCAGCTGATAGCAACAGGAGTTGCAGGTGCTCTGCACATCTGAAAATTTAGGGCTGTTTTTTTACCAGAAATCTGTCTTAAGCATGGCTGTATGTGTACTTGGGGAAAGGTATTAAAAATGCCAAATCACACACTCGTGGGCAAATGAAGAACAATAATGTTTTTATATGTACACTTGAGATAAATCTTTCAGAGTGAAAATAAAACCCTTCATATCATTTGCAGTTACTTGTAATATGTTGAACATCAGAATAGATCTGCAGTTTTGCTGAGAGCTAGCCCATGTGAGCCTGCAGCCCATGTCCTGGGGCAGATCCTTGCAATGTGGAGAGCCTCAGTATGTTTCAGGAACTGGTTGAGTCTTCTTTGGAGGAGTGGAGTTTATAGAGACAAAAGAGATATATAGGGCTGAAGTTTTTGCACTTGCAAGGGATGTCCAAGGGAAGTGTGCTTCGAATGCAGAAAGTTATAAAATGCAATGGATTGAGCATCAGGTATTAGCAAAATTACTGGTCATGATTTTGGCAATGGGTAGATATTTCCCGCTTCTTTATTCTCCTTTTAGACAATGAGAAAGTTGTATCACAAAGAATAATACTTCATTTCATGGATTTTGGCTTTGTATTTTCTTTTTAAGAAAAATGCATTTATATTATATTGAGGATGCCCACATAGCACTGAACAATTCTGTATTTGCTCATTTCATGGATTTTGGCTTTGTTTTTTCTTTTTAAGAAAAATGTATTTATATTATATTGAGGATGCCCACATAGCGCTGAACAATTCTGTGTTTGGGGCCACATGTTCTGTGAAGCAAATAGAGACAAAAATGCATAAGTACTCATTTGCTGAACGAGGCAGGGATCTGCAGAAAAATACTGCATGCAGTCATCTCATTAAAAGCACCATCACAGACTGTGTAGAGCTGTCTTCTGAACTGTCTTTGGTCTAGTTCGCTTATTTAGCATCAGTTTTATGTAGCTATGTAAATGTGTAACTATATTAGCCATCAGGATTGTCACAGAGGTTAGTGGAATTGTATTTGCAGGAAGACTGCTAGCTGCATGGCTGTCACAGGTTGTGGTATTATAGACATGGTTGGTTAGTATAACAGCCTTTTCTTGCCTGCTGAATTGTATATTCAGTATTTTTATAAGTGCTAGGCTCACTCAAAATTTAAAAACAACCCCTCTGACAAAAATCCTAAATAGACTTATACTGGCTAAATGCATTAGTCAATGCATTTATTTATGAATTAATAAAATCTATTACTTAAGAGACTCTGGCTGTGTTTACAAATACTAAACAAAGTTAATTTTTTAGTATATTACACTGGTAGTCATTGGCTGCATAAAGGTTAGGCATTGCATTTTTTTAATGCTATAAGAGGCTAATATTAAAGTCTGTCAAAAAACCCCCAAACCTACCTGCTGGAGGGAGGGAAAAAGGCACGAAGCAAAAAAAAGAAAACCTACTATTCATGAAGATTTTGTTTGCATTCAACACATCGTATAGCCTTTAACTATTATGACATTTTGGAAAAATTCCTTGACTTAAGTAAGAAAGCAAAAAAAAGAAAATGTACTATTCATGAAGATTTTGTGTTTGCATTCAGCACATCGTATAGCCTTTAACTATTATGACATTTTGGAAAAATTCCTTGACTTAAGACAGATACTATTGTGGTTTTTGTTTGGGTCCCATGGGTTTTGTTTGTTTGTTTTTTTTTGTTGTTGTTGTTTTTTTTTTTTTAAATTTCCCTGAGAAATACAGTTTTAGAGACAGAGGCCTTGGGTTAATGCCCAACTGTTCTGTCCCTTTAAGAGTCTAAGCTTGATTGTGATGAGGAGTCTGCATTCCTCAGAGTGACAGTAGTTTAAGTCTGATTTTTAAAAAGATGATTGAAAAAAAACCAAGACTTCCTTCTGCAGCAGCTTTCTAGATACTGAGATTGAATCTCTTCCCCATCTTGTCTGCAGCAGTGTCCAAAAAAAAAAAAATCTCAATTTTCTAAATATTTAAGTGCTAGGACTAGATGCCAGTAGGAGGTAATTTTTCCTAAAAAAATTTGAGTGGAACAGTAGGTTAAAAGTTATAAAAGAAAAATAAACAGATGCAAAAATGGGGAAAGGAGGAAAAAATAACAAATGAATAATAAAATATTCAGTGCTTTTCAATTAACTGTGTAGACAATTAGTATACTAATGGATTATATCACAGAAATCATGCATATTAATTTTTTTGCAGCCATTATCTTGTATGTGATTTACTCCCCTCTAATCATTAACAAGGCTATTAAAAGGTGGATGTGGATGAAAATTCTGGGTAGTGTGTAGGAAAATAATATGGCCGAGGATCAAGAATGAACCTGGAAACCAACAGATTTTGAAGGGCAGAGGTGAGAGACTCAGAGAAGGGAAGAGAAACCTGAAAGAAAATGAAATGAGGAGGAAAGAATAGAGCAAAAACTGTGATCTGACTCTTTCCAGTCCCTTACGGTAGCTGAAGTGCTTTTCTGTTAAGATGCCTCCTCTCTTCCCTAAAATGCTGCAGTTTAATCTGAATCCTGAACAAACCTTCTTTTCATGAAAGGCAGAGCCTTTTGGAATCACACAGCTTTTCTCCACAATGGAAATCTGTGTGTGCATCATGAAGAAGATAAATATGTATATGAAGAAGTGTCCCCGGGGTCTTTTCCGAAGCAATGAAGCATCCTTGTTTCGGGTTACAATGGCAGCTTGAGGGCAGCATTTCCATCCAGAAGAAAATGGCTGTGACTCTTCATAAATAGAGCCCTTCTTGGAAAATGAGATAAAATGCATAACCAGGAATGTGTTAACCAAAGAGAGAAGAGAAACATCAGCAAAATGAAAATGAACGGCTGACACATAGTTGGGGAAAGGTTACCAGTGGGAATTTCTTTGTCTGAATGGATGTTTTGTTGTATAAATAGATGTGTTTTTGTCATTATATGAGCTGCTAGTATTAATTAAAATTGTAATCAAATTTCCCTGGTGCTTTTCACACCTGAAAACAATAGTCCTTCACACAGCTGTAAGGATTCACTGAGTCAGAGTTTTCTGTTAATGTTCATATCTTATGTCCAGGTACCAGCTAATTAGACTGTGCATTTAAAGTGGGATTGTTCTTTCTATTTTTTTCCTCTGTGTTTTTGAGTAGAAATGTTAGGCTGCTGCTGCAACAGAGCAGTAGCAATGCTTTGTGACTGACAAAGCATATCATATTACAAGGTCCACAATAGGTTTTGCATGCCCAACACCTTTTTATAAACGCTGGCTCCTGGCAAATGTCAGCTGGTGGGAGAAAGAGCTGCTGGCCAGCCTAGCAGAGGGATGCTGCCGCATTGTCTCTGTGAAACAAGATGACTGAAGGTTGTGGCCTGCAGCCTGGCTGTGTGATGAACTCTCCAGTGTTTGCTTCTTGCCTCCCCCCCAGCTCCTTGATTGATACTGATAGCAGCAGAAGAAATGTGCCCACTTAGATCCATTTTATAAAACGCACTGGCCCAGACCTAACCACTGGGCATGCCAGGGGCTATTGTCTGCCACTTTGTCCCTCAGATACTCAGGGAAATTCACGGGCTTTCAAGTCTAGCAATTACTTTATGCCTTTACCAGAAGGGAAGGAAATAGGGTGATACTTTTAATAGTAATTAAAAGGCAAGGATAAATTGTGAGCCTAAGTTGAAGCTGCTGGTTATGAGAGCTCCCCATATTGATTCAGCTTCCGGTTCTGGACCATCTGTTGTTTCACATCCTGAATTCTGAGTAAAAGTCCAGAAGGACTTTACCTAAGCCAACAGATATTCCCTAGCAGAGGAATACCCTTTTGAGTCTACTGTACAGGAGAGACAGAATTGGAGGGTGAAGAATGAAAGCTATAGGTGCACAAGGACATATTTTCTTACTATATAGTTGGGGTTTTGTTTGCCTTCGTTTGAAATGTGCAGGATTCATCTCATTACTTGTTCCACATATCAGGGTCATGCATCCCTTCACACAGGCTTGAAAGAATGAAGGCCTTCAATAGTTGATTTTCTTACATTTCCATTTGCTTGGTATGTGTTTTCAGTAATTTCTTTGAAAAATGTTAAATGGCTTATTCCTCTGCTTTGAGTTACTGTACTTATCTCTTGATTTTAAAAAAGCCTATTTATTAATCATTGTAACAACAAAAATTACAATGAAATTGATACATTATTTTTGTACTATTTCACAGGAATTAATACATTTAGATAACATAACCTGACAGACTGAGGGGGAACCTTTATGGGATCTTTCACCTTCACAGAAGCAAATCATCAGCACCATGATATTCATAATCCATCAGTTGCTCTCAAGAATGCTGCAGAAGAGGCAGTCACTTCCTTAAGCTGTTTGTATGGGGGCAGTATAGAGAGCTGCAGCTTTAACTGGGTTGTCTGGCCCTGAGCATGCTCAGATAAGTCACAACACTAAATGAAGTAACAACTGATGAGGTTAAAAGGTCTCCAGAGACAGACTTTTTGATTGAAAAAGTATTTTTTTGATAGAAATATTAATAAATATGGGTCCTGGAATTTAGAGTTTTCTATATTTTGACTGTAATTCTTTATCTGTTAAAGGTATGTTAATCCACACGTGTTTTGTAGTGAAAGAGGGTAAAAGGGTGAGAGGAATTAACAAATGTCATACAAACGTCAGTCTGCCTCTCCTTGAGCTTCTGTAATTCTTTATCTGTTAAAGGTATGTTAATCCACACATGTTTTGTAATGAAACAGGGTAAAAGGGTGAGAAAGGAATTAACAAATGTCATACAAACGTCAGTCTGCCTCTCCTTGAGCTTGCCATTCAATATCTGCTCTCAAAGAGCTTTAGTTTCTGGCTTATTGTTCTGTGCCTTAATAATTATTTATATGTGAAAAATGTAGTAAGGGACAGCTTTTAATGAATTCTGCATTTTCATGAATGTGATTCGTTGTTTTAATGCCTCCTGCCACAGGGCTTTTGCTGATTCCTAATTCCTAACCCACTTGAGTTTCTCTTTCTGTACTGTAGCATCTCCCCTGTCTGTCACTTGGCTCTCTGCAGAATCCTCCCTTTTGCTGTCCATCTTCTCGTTGGTGTGCTGATGGGAAGTCCAAACTGATAAACCTGAGCCCCTTCTGTGCTGTTGAACAGCACTGTTTTTGTCATTAGATGATGAACTGTCCGACACTAATATATCTAATTAGTGTTGGATTCATAGATATTTGTGAGTCCTACCTTTTAAGTGCACACTTCATAAAAAAAAAAAAAAGTTTATTTTCTGCAGTTAAGAGCTGCTTGGTGATTATCCCTCAAGAATTTTGGGTGTTTTCTGTAATCTGTTCTTCATTGAATGCACATTCTGTGCTTTAAGTGCGCACTTCATTAAAAAAAAAAGTTTATTTTCTGCATTTAAGAGCTGCTTGGTGATTATCCCTTAAGAATTTTGGGTGTTTTCTGTAATCTGTTCTTCATTGAATGCACATTCTGTGTAGGATCAAAATTGGTCTGAACCAAGGCAGTTATGAGTTTATCCATTAATAGTCTTGTTTCTCTGTTGAAGTTGAGAAAGGCTAGGATTTTCTTGTATTAGCTGAGATGGTGGTAACACAGAGCATTCTTGTAAGCCAAAAGACCCCTTTTGGGAATGTGCAACTTTGAGAAATACTGTCTGTCTCACATGTATCAGCCTCATTTCTGCTGCCATTGAAGCCAAAAGCAATTTTCCATATGTGATGCTTTAGTTTTATTCTACTAAAAGTAATACATTGTTTGAAAAATCTTCATTAAGGATCATGCACAGTACTATTTGTGACATGCATAATGTCCCAACTGATCTTTCTCCTTCATTCTGTTTTTAATATGCTGTCAGATCCAAACATATCTGATCTTCTATGCAGTATGAGTATTTATGCTAAAATCTATTAGGATCTTCCCTTAGCTGAGTCTTCTTAGGTAGCAGATCTACAGACACAGATGTGTATTTATTTGTACAAAGATATGGGATAAAGGCAATATTTTGCATGTGAAGAAGTTGCAGTAACTGTTTATACAGAACACTTGTTGTGTTAGCTGTTTTTCTGCACTATAATATATGCATACATGCTGAGTTAATAGTGGCAGCTTTATGTCAACTTTCTAAATCTGAATTATGTCTCATAAGTGACATAAAATCTTACTAATGTAATCTGAATAGGCCATACATAAAAATATTTTCTGTTCATATAAAAATCCAGAAATTGCTCCAAAGAGATTGAAGACCTGATTATAGTGAAATAGCAACTTGACAAAAATTCAAAGTGTATATAAACAACCAAATTAAAGAAGTCCAAAAGCCTTACTGTAATGATCAGAAGAGGTGGATGGTTAGAAATACATTTTGGGCCTTTGAGTGGTAGCACCCATATTAAAGAATGAAATTTGCTTGAAAAACATCTTTTAGCAGCATGTGACAGCTCTGGACTGAGGGGGAGCTCTGAGCTGATCTTAGAGCTCCAGCATTACTGAGGCTGCCGGGTTGTCACTGTGTAATTGCATCCAGCTGGTTTCCTAGCACTAATCCATGCATTTGTTGAATTACTCAAAACAGAATATATGGTACAACTCCTTCTCTCCTCTCTTCCTCATATACTCATACAAGTATATTGAACTTGCATTTTACAAGGTTCTGTGTCTATTCTCTCCTCTGTTCCTCATGCCATATATTGAACTTGCATTTTACAAGGTTCTGTGTCTGTTTTTCCCAAATGCTTGCAATTCTTTCTTAGCCTAAAAATTCCACTTCAGGTTAGTTTCAATTTTGTTTGCCTTTCTCCCCACCCCAGCACTCCCCCCAGAAATCCGAGGCATACACTTAGAGCACCCTTTTCATTTGTAAACTGGATGGGTACTTTACCATAAGCGCTTGCAATTCTTTCTTTGCCTAAAAATTCCACTTAATAAAGTTAGTTTCAATTTTGTTTGCCTTTCTCCCCACCCCAGCACTCCCCCCAGAAATCCGAGGCATACACTTAGAGCACCCTTTTCATTTGTAAACTGGATGGGTACTTTACCATAAGCATGTCCTCAGTATTTTTCTTAGAATTATCATTGGCATTTTTTTGTCTATTGCTTGTTTTAATTTGTTTTTAAATATGTTGCATAGTAGCAAGCCACACATTTCATGTTCTCCGAGATATCTGGAGTCACATTCACTTAAAACTCACTGATGTCTGTCCTTGGGATTTTGGCTTGACCAGAGAGAAAGTTATTCACAGAATTTAAATGTGAACTTCACAGGTGTTTAAAGCTCAGTGGCATTTGAAACGAAAAGTTTGATTCTGGTCCACTGCTATTCTTAATTTTAGTTTGTTTATTACTGTTACTGTAACAAATGTATTTCTGATACCATGATTTGTATTGTCCCTGGTATCATGAACCTTACACTTAACTTCTTTGTACGGTAAGAATGACCTGAAAGAAGTATCCCTTATCATTTAAATAATCATATTAGTTTTATAGGCAATGGAGTGAAACTTTACCCAGACCCACAAACTGAGTTCATTTAGAGTTGGACAAAGAATGATACCCTTTCCTTAGATGCCACACTTAGATTGACTTTTGAAGGTGATATTTCTCTTTTACATATTTGTGTTTTTAATAGAGAATAATTCCCGTAAGGCACTTTAACATCACTCACCCCTGCAGTGAAGGTTGTTACAAGCATATATCTCATCAGGTAGCATACCACAAAGCATGGTGTCTTCACAGGGAGACTGTGCTAAAAACTAAGGTGATTAAATGGAGAACAGTGGGAAAAAGGTGTAAGGACATGGAAATAAGGGAAGTGTCCTCTATAGGCCAGTGGCACTGCCACTAATAAAAAACCATACTGTAATATTTCAGTATGCTTTATTTTAGAGATGAGATTTAATTTTTTTTGATGTAACATAAATCCAAGCACAGCAATGGTTAGATTTAAGAAACTGCAATATATCAGTCTTCATAACAAAAAAAAGAGTATGGGTGATCTTTATAAAGAAATTTTTTTCTGCTTTCTAGGTTTTGTCAGTTTGAGGCTGATTTCTGAATAGATTAAAGTATTTTTTCTTATTCGTGGAACAGCCTGTTCTCTTCTGATATTATATTCCAGGAAAGATTCACTGGGTGCATTCCTTAAACATGACTGTGCATAAAGCATGTGAAGATCAAGGAAAAATAAATTGCTTTAGACTAATAAGTTAGATCTACATCTTTACTATTGTTAGGCATAAATCTTCCTGCATATAGGTCTAAACAACTTCTTGTGATAGAACAAATGGTTCTGGAAAGATAGTTATGAACATGAAGCCAGGGAGTATGGATTTACGAGCTTTTAATTTCAGTAGGAAATGCAGCCTACTGTTTTCCATGTATAAAAATATCTGAAATATATCTTATTTGTTGAATTGCAGTTACATCATCACTGGTGTTTTCTGCCTCTATACATTTTCATATTTCAACAAAGCAGTTTGAGATTCTTACTGGTTCTCTGTTTGGGTTTCTCAGGAGTTACAGGTTATGTTCCATGATTCCATTATATTTAGAGTCTTAAATGCTATTTATCATTGTAGTTCTGGGCTTAGCAGCTCATGAAGGAATGGGACTAATAACTGTCACATGTTGGTCATTCTCTCATCCTCTCCCCAGAGAACAAGCAATGGAATGTCTTGGTTTGCTAGAGATTTAAGTATTTATTTTAATAGCCACAAGTAAGTATGGGCTTATTTTAGGGACAGCAGAATCATGCACTGGGAGTGGAATGGCATGAGCTTTGCAGCAGTCTTTATTCTTTGTGGGAGTTTGCTTCATGTATTTGGGTGAGCTAAGATCTGTGCTCTGTTGGCAAACAATCTTTTTTCTTGAGACATCCACTGTTTTAATAATAGTTAACAGCCTTTCACCTAGAGCTTGAGTTTTTCTTTTGTTTTCTGGGTCCAGACTGTTGAGGAAATGAGCGCTTGGTAAAATACCATGTGTGGTCATGCTG